GGACAAAAGAAAGTTTCCAAACCGGCTCTCAGCAGCGTTGGTGAACTGCTTGGACACTCTCACTGGTATGCTATCAATGTCTTGTGAGAGCTCCATCTGGAATAGATATTAAAAGTACAACACATCGTTTTGTAGCAGTCCATGCTTGTTCCGCATATTTTTCCCACCAAAGTCGGAACAAAGATGACTTCCAACTCAGGAATGGCGAAACTTCCAATACAAAAGTGAATGAGCCACTAAGCATCAGATTCAAGATTCTGTTGTGGACGTGGAGGATAAGAGGCGGTGTCCGGTACCAAGAACTTTATGAATTCTCCAGACCATTAAACTAAAGATTATTCACACTCATCTATATTGATTGTAGTATGCAGTTGCACAGGACGTTACTAATTGATTATTACATTGTACGTTGGTTGTTTATTAGGTATTAAAGTCCGCGGCTCACAGTGCGTCAGCCAAGCCAATGCACATTAGCTCGGGAATAAAACCAGAACGAACCAGTGCTGGCTGGAGTTTGTTTTTTTTACAAGCAGCGGTCTGTCTCCTGAGCGTTCGCTTGCCTTGTCTACCAAGTAAACAAGCCCTAGACCACGCCCGGACGGCTCAGGTGTCTTTATGGAGACTCGTTGTAAGTATGTCGATGAGAAATTCAGGTTTTTCAGTCAGAATGAAGTTAGAATAAAATCAGAGAGTCAGACAAAAGCCTTACTGGAATAATGAAGAAGCTAGGGAGAGCCATCTGAGACCATGGAAGAGGTGGAAGGTAGTATTAGGGTTTGTGGATTATCAGTCTCACACAGATGGCTACAGAGAACAGTGGCAAGTTTTTTCAACAACTATCCAAATATGCGTGAGACGATAGAGGAGTAAGTTAGTGTCTTTTGTCTTTTTCTTTTTTGTCTAACTGGAAGCATAAAGGTATTGTTATGTATCTGTAACTCTCAGTAATATATTAGGGCATCATTCTTAGAACTCTGGCCACACAATCAGCATGCACTATTGTCATTATTCTTCAGGCTCCCTGTTGACTTCCAAAGATCAATTATAGTGTGCAGAGTTATCATTTCCTTCACGAGGTGATCCATTTAAAGGAAAATTAGATGACACGGACTGCCTCTACAGCGACAGTGCTGATGTTGGTTTAGGTGTCATATAAGCGCATTGCATGTTTCTTGTAATAAGGCTCTTGCAAACAGCATTTCTGTGGGGTAAGGGAGCAACAGTCCACGCACATGACGTGTATTAGACTGAGCCTTTCAGGTGCCGAAAATGACAATCGCGTCCAGAGTGTGTGGGGGGCAATTAACGAACCGACCCCTCTGGTTAGAATTGAGCCTGCCTCCCATGATAAAACCTTTTTCATGTTAGGGGATATTCAGCTTTTTAGCTAGAATCTGCATATTTGCTGCAGTAGTGTTTGTGTCTGTGTCTATTTTCCAGGTGATCCTTACATTGATGTGAATGTTTGCTTAAAGTATACTCGCTGATAGTAAGAGTTAACAGGACCCACCCTGGAAAAACAAGATTTTTCCAAAATGATTAGCATATGTAACATTGTGGGGAAAAATATCTTCATGTATAAAACAGTGTCATTTTAAAAAATTTCATATCAACAAAATGCAAAACAGCAAAACCAATAAAATTCTACAGTCGTATTCTTGTTTGAGAGAATGAGAGTGGAAGATCCAGCTCCACCAAAATAAAAGTAACAGATCATTGATTGCTAATCACTTCCAGTATTTTCCTCTGGTAACTGATAACTGCCCAGTCTTTTACAGAAGCTCAGCTCTACCATTTAGCAGTCATTTTCTGGTGTCATGTGGCCTGTTGGATCATTTCTCAGAGTGCCGACTGACTTCACTCTCAAACCAAATAAATTAATTACACACGCAATGTAACAAAATGCCATCACACATAGAAACTAGATCCTATTACTGGCTGGTTATTTGCTATATAAAGCAGCCAACAGGCTCGCAGTGACCTTCCCTTTTAGTCTGTTACTATAAAAAATAGCTTTGGGACTAGAAACGACTCTCTCTTGAGAATCCTACATTGGTCTGGTCCAAGTCATTTCAGTATGGACCATTTGATCTGCTCCTTGGCCGACTGCAGAACCTGGAAAACAGACAGAAATAATCAGAATATGTATTAATAGAAGAAAAATACATATGTAGCTAAATGTAGTGTAATATCATGAAGAAAACACCATTAAATATGAAGTATAATACAGTAAACTATAATCTACAGAAGCATTTTTAAACAAATACGTCTGATTGTTGTGCTTATGTTAATATAAGTACCGGGCATCAAAACACTTGTGCACAGGCAGAAAAACTAAATGAAATTATTCTTTTTAGTTTTTCAAGTTTAGATGTTTATTTAAGACCTAAACTTTGAAGACCTGAGCAAACGCTATATTCACAGAGTCTGCACTCTTTGATAAACAGCTTTGTCCTGCATTAGTAAAGTAGAGTTTAAACAGCCAAATGGCTAATAGAACAATGGTCAAGCATCAGGGGAAGAAAATACTACATTTTTCCAAAAAAAGGTCTATTATGTATCATTGGTAGAAATGAAATAGACATAACACAGACAGAGAATTACTTTATAAGTTCTTAAAAATATCAGGAAAACTCTTCTTTAATGCAATAGCCACAGGAAATAATCCAAATTCATCCAATTCACTTGTTTTACACAAATCTCCTGCAGCTATTGTATTCAATATTTGTGTTCATTGTACAGTTTATCAGTTGTTCTGTGCTGTTAGTGTTATAAATCTAATGTAAAATGAAATATCCATAAAATATGTGACTTAGTCAGTTAATAGAAAAGGAGTTGCGTCAGGAAAAAGGTTGGGAACCACTGCTCTATAGTGCATAACTATAAAAGAGTTTGTACTTTATACAGGAGCTGAGTTACACTGTGGGGTTCAATGGGCCTCCTCCATAGGTTAGAATACATTACATAACTCATAATAACTCATGAACTGTGCATGTCATCATAATGACCTTATGTATTCTGCCCTACAAAGCATAACCGCAGTAACTACGCTAACAGTGAAACTGAGAGAAATGGCTTTAAAGTTTTGGTTTTAGGTTGGATTTTGTAGTTACTACAATTTTTACATCACGTTTTCTCTAAGATGGAGCAAGACTAAACTTTGAAAATTTGTCACAAGATAAAACAGGCATGTAAAAGTTCATTTTCAGTCATAACTCAATTTTGACCAAAATCGTAGTTACTGCGGTTTTGCTTGGTAGGGCAGTATTGTACAGTTGGTCAGTGTGGAACAGTGAATGGAGTCTGTACTGCACACACATTGAACTGTCACAAATACAAGTGTGCTCAGGGGGACACCAGTGCATTATATAACTCATGAACCGTACATATCATCATTAACAACAGGCAGGGTTAGGACTTAACAAACTAGTTCCAAATAGTTAAAAGTCACTAAAGTCACCACATTGGCAACACTCTCTGATTTTGTGTGTGTAAGCGTGCGTGTGACGTAGCCTAGAGCTTGTGCTACCTCACATTTTTCAGACAATTCAAATGACATGTATTCCATGATGTATAAAAGTAACCATTTCATTTGTAATAACAACTTTCTCTACTGTCCCAGAATTGTCTCAGACACTGTATGTTTGTGTCCCAGGTGCAATTTTTATTAACCCCAGGACAACGAGGACATTCTTAATTTCGAGTGCTGACAACAGGGATATTTATCGCCTGAAAATGTTCCTTGTATCACATACCATAAAACACAGGCCTACATGCGCTGTAATTGATTACTATGTTTTACTACTACTACTATTACTTACTATTAAATTACTATTAATTATTGTGAAATGTTGAAAGGAACTATTAATTAAAGATGCTCATTAAAATCTAAAATCTATTTTTCCACTTTTAACTGCTGAATTCTTTTATCTTAGTAGCCTGAGTTAAATAAAGTTTCATCTTTTTTTTCAGAACCAGTGGTTCTCACACTGGGTTAAATATAAGACAAGTGTGTTCTGGTGTGAGCAGGGATATCAAGATTCAGGTAAAATACAAGATGAATAGACTTTTGAAAGGAAAAAAAGCCAATGGTCAGTGAGGAAACGTTACTAAAATCTGCCACATGACGAAGACTCCCTGTAGCTGAAGAGCCTTGTGGAGTTTTTGGGACTATTTGTACTTTTTCTCTGTTCCTCTCAGTCTTTTGGTGAACAAGCTTCCACTGTTTGTGTCCTCCTCATCTAGACTTGTTGTTCCTCATATTTAACAGCAGGGGGCACATGGAACTAAGGTAACATTCACTGCAGTGTGGGATCCTGGGAAATGCAGTCACATCCGGCCCTTACAGTGTTCTACTGCTGCTTTCATCTATATAACAGGTTTATACAGTGTTGTAGTGTAACGTATTGCTTGCTACAGTGTGCATACTCTACATATGGAGGCATTTGTTACAACTTTATATGTTGAAGTGTTAGGCAGTTCTATGTAATTGTTGTTATACTACTGTATACTGTACTGTACAGTAGCATAGCTTTTACCTCTGTGAACTATGCATTTAGTGAGGATGGACCTTGATTTTGAATTTATTTCAGAAAACTGAACTTCAACAATTAAATGCCACATACACACTAATGTAATAATAATAATAATAATAATAATAATTCAATTAGATATAACAGTATTAATCGACTTATCAACTAAAACATTATTTGCCTAGTTTGATAATCAATTAGTCATTTTGAGTCTATTTTGACAGAATGTCTAATAATAATACATACTTTTAGCAAAATGAAATTTTTAGTGCAGGACTTAACTTGTAATGGAGTATATTTTGCAGCATTGCTACTTTACTTACTTTTAGGATCTGAATCCACCTCTGATCAACAACCCCCTAGTTTTTATTCTTGTTGACAAGATTTAATAATGTGCCTCGGTCTGTATGTGTCATAAATGTAGCCGTGTACTCTTGATCATCTACTAGTATTTATACTCATTCATTTCATACCCCTGCATACATCTTAATGAATGGACATTTTTTTTCCCAATTTGGCTAGTGCTTCTATAAAGGTGTGGTGAAATTTTAGGGAAGAGGCACTGCCTTCAAGACTAAAGTCAGGGAACAAAAGACTGTCCTCAATAAACACCACAGATTACATGAAAGACTAACATGCGAGGCTGCTGCCTTGCTATGGAAGGTGTACACTGATACCTAAAATAGTAAGAGATGTGTAAGTATATGTAATCCCCCTGCCCAGATGAAAAACCTTGCATATAGACAGCACTGAGACTGTAGCATTATGGTATATGATACAATACGATACAACAGATTACACGGTCCCTAAGGAGACACTGTGTTTTAGTCTAGCAGAGATTCACAACCTTCTCTCAACCTTGGGGTCCTGATGTCCAAACTGGCAAATTTCAAGCTATTGTTTAAATTAGAAAATTAGGTAATATAAATAAGGATACAAATCCCTCGTTATCTCGTTTTGTGTGATATGTGCCTACATAAACATGGACGAAATTAAATTCTAAATCAATTTCCCCGACCTTTAAAAAGTTCTAAAACTTCCAGAGGTCCAGTATTGAATAAAAGAACACTGACTATCCAGCCTGGTGTTATTATAAGCCCATGGTGTTGGTTGGCAGTCTCAAAACAATCTGAGGCACTGATTATAAATATAAAAATCCTTTATTCAATCATAAATAAATAAAATAAATCCATTCATCCGAGTGGGTGGAGGTACCCTAATGAAAACCCTCGAAACACGTTGGTTTATCCATGATTAAATAACTAAATAAATAAATAAATGAATATATATTTAACACCACGGACTCTGATTAACACAAAGCTGGACAGTAGTTGTTTCATTTTTACTCGACTACTTACCTTAGCCTTTAAGAGCTACTGATTCTCTACTTTAACCATTACCAACATTTCGTTTTTGACCCAGTGAACCTTTTTTTCAGTGTTATGGAAGAGTAGGCTGGTGTGGCAGCGTGCAGTATGCAGTGTTACAATAGAATAAGCTTTGTAGTGCAGTGTAGGGCTTTTGTGACGTTAGCAGAGACTTACGTTAGTGGTGAGAGCCAGTTTCTCTGTTATGTGCTGTCAGGGTTGAAGCAACAGAAAGAAGAGCTTAGAGCATGAGTACACACATGCAAACACTCTTCTCTACAAGCAAGCAAGCACAGAAACATGTCCGTGCACATGTTCATTCCTGCACACAAGCAGGGAGTCAGAAGGAAGCACATCAGAAAAACAGTAATGACTGCAATAAAAAACTGTTTTAGTGATGGAATGCTATTAGAATAGATCAAATCTTTATGGCAAAAGAGCTCTCTGATCAGCGCCGCAGTTTTACATCTGTCCAGTACTTAGTGAGCCACAGTGCTTTAATCCAGCTATCCATTTATTTATCCATCAATCCGTTCATTCACAGGTGAGCCTGTTAGTGCTGTCCCATTCTTTTGAGATGAAGCCAAGCTAGCTGCTATCTCAGCATGCATGGTGAGCTAAAGCGTTAGCATGCATCCGGTGAATCTGCAGAAAGATGTCAAACTGCTACCAATCATTCCGTCAGAGAACAACCAGCCTTCTGCCATGAAGAGTGTAGGAGTTAAGCTCTGTTATACTACAAGCTAATGCTTCCAGAGAGAAGCAGTTGCGAGGTTTACATGCTAATAACAGTATAGAAATGAGGTCGGCATGCAGTGTTTGCAGCCGGCACTGTGTGTCTGTATGAGTGGCTGAGTATTCGTGTGTATGTATAACCATATCTGCACGTATCTGGGAGTGTATGTTTGTGTTATTTTCATGCAGTACACCCATTTAGTCTGTTCCATTTCTGCTTCTGTCTTAACTTCCTGTCCACATTGCCAGGATTAAAGGAATAGTTCGACATTTTGGCCAGTTAGCTTAGTTTAACATAAAGACTGGAAACAGGGGGAAACAGCTAGCCTGGCTCTGTCCAAAGGTAAATAAATCTGACTGTCTAAAGCACCTTTCACATTGGACTAAAAAAACAACTAACACCCACTAACATCTGGCTTTTGTCTTGTGAATAAGGGTACAATCGAAATTCATTACTCTGCAGTAGTTCTGGGTATTTATCTGCTACAGCTCCAATCGGCTGTGATGGCAAAATTATACCCTTTTCCCGGCTTGAAGTTCCGGACGTTGGCGTGCAAATAACCAGGAACATTATTTATTCTTTTTTACAATCTATGGGAACAACCAGCAATGGCACACTGTAAAAAAAAAAACAATAAAAAAAAAAAACAATATGGCTGCTGTGACAGACCTTTACTGTAAAAAATATGGTAGAACTTCGTCTACTATTATGGTAAAAAGATATAAGTAATGTTGTTTTTAACCTTTAATCTATATTTTACCATATAAATACAAGTTTTAACCATCAAAAGAAGGTGGATTTTGTTACCTTGGAAAGAAATATTGGACAGAGCCAGGCTAGCTGTTTTCTCCAGCTGTTAAGCTAACCAGGTGCTGGCTGTAGCTTCATGTTTACTGTACAGACATGAGAATCTAAGCTTATTAAGCTTATTTTCCAAAATGGCAAACTTAAAAAAAGACAATCTAAAGAAAGATCAATTCTGGCATTGTAAGGGAACACTGATCTGGTCAGTAGTTAATGTTTGTCACACTGCATGTCAGCCATAAACATTGTGTGTTACTTTGTAAAATTGGTCAAATATTTGCTAAAATGCCTGAGCAAGGTGATCACAAACTGCAGACACAGCACATTCCCCTTTCTGGCATAGACAGCAAGATAAAGGACAAAATATTGCAGCAGGCATTGTTGCAGGGAAACACAAGGTGCACAAAGTATTGCCATCTACCATATTAGTGTGTATCTGCATGTGTACATAACTGCACTACAGCATATATGTAACGTGAATCTATTTATAGACATGTGTGTATTAAGTGTATGTGTGTGTTACCTGGGCCACGCTTTGTTCAGATAATGGATTTTCATCCGCCTGTAAGAAAAAAAGACATTATTAAAGACATCAATGGGTGTACAAGAGAAAGATGCAAAACTTATGCTAAATACTTGATACACACACACACACACAATACAAAAGCAAAGCACTGCACACACCACCAGATCTGTAGAAACACCATTACATACTGTGGATCAGTGACATTCAAAGCATGTTGGTTAACAGCTCAGCCAATCACAACTCATTAGAGTTTATAGCTAGGCTCATGGTGTGGCTCTAAGGTCGACAATGTTGTTAAAATAACTCGACAACTATTGGAGGGGTTGCCTTGACATTTTGCATATGGTCCTCAGAGGATCACCAAAAGTAATGTTGCTTCATCCTCTAACTTTTCCTCAAGTGACACCAGCAGATCAAGATTTTAATACAGGGGTGTTGCGATATACCGTTATTCACAATAACTCTGGTATTTAAAGTCCCCCTCCACTCAATAATATGTTTTCTTCTTGTACCTACAGTGCGCTGTTTGATCTTCACTGTGCAGAATGCTGTATGTGCAG